GATAAAGCTGACTTGATCATGGTGGATGATCTTTCTGATGTGTGTCTGTATGCGGTTTGGAAGTATCTTGTTGAGAATTTTTGCGTCTATGTTCATTAAGGATATGGGTCTATAGTTTTCTTTTTTGGTTGTATCTTTACATGGCTTTGGTATTAGAGTGATGCTGGCTTCATAGAAGGAATTTGGAAGTTCTCCCTCCATTTCTATCTTTTTGAATAAATTAAGTTGTATTGGATGTAGATCTTCTTTAAATGTCTGATAGAATTCTGCAGTAAATCCATCTGGTCCTGGGGTTTTTGTGGTCAGGAGGTTTTGTATTACTGTTTCAATTTCTTTTTGTGTTATGGGTCTCTTTAAGCTGTTAATCTCTTTTTGGTTTGGTTGGTGGCACAGGCCTTTAGTCTCAGCACTCAGGAGGCAGAGGCAGATAGATCTCTGTGAGTTCAAGGGCAGCCTGGTTTACACAGTGAGTTCAGGCCAGCTGGGGCTACAGGGAGACTGGGTCTCAAAAGGACCCAAAACAAACAAACAACCCCTCCAAAAAAATACATGGGGATAGGCTTGTTGGCTAGCCAGGGACTTGCTTCTGTTTGCTTTAAGAGCCTCTGAGGCTTAATAGTTGAGTTGAAGAAAAGGGTAGAGACTCAGAACGAATGGCTGGATGAGGGACAAGATGGTGGCAGGTGCTGGTTATCTGTACGGTAGGTACCGAAACAGAAAGTACTAAGTCCTGGGCTGATGTTCAAGGGTGGCACTGCCAGCAGCTAGGCCTATGTGTCTAGTCAGAACTTAGGTATTTTCAGGTTCTTTTAAATGGGAGATACATTTTGAAAATGTTATTTTTATTTTATGTGTGTGAGCACATTGCCTGCATGTGTATAAGTGCACCTGTGTCATGTGTTGTGCAATGCCTGAGGAGGGCATTGGATCCCCTGGAACTGGAGTTATGGACAGTTAGCCGCCATGAGGGTGCTGGGAATTGAACCCTGGTCCTTTGCAAGAACAGCCAGTGTTCTTAACCACTGAACCATCTCTCCAGCCCCTAGATGACACATTTAAAAATTATATATAAATTATTATAACTGGGTACGGTGGCACATACCTTTAATCCCAGCACTAAGGAGGCAGAGGCAGGTGGATCTCTGTGAGATCCAGGCCAGCCTGGTCTACATCGAGTTCCAGGCCAGCTGCAGTTACAAGGAGACTCTGTCTCAAAAAGACCAAAAAAAAAATTATTATGTGTGTGTGAGAGAGCATGTGCCACAGTGCATATGTGGAAGTCAGAGGACAACTGTGTGGAGTCTGTTTTCTCTTTCTACATCTGTGTGGGTTCTAGAGATTGAATTTGGGTTACCTTGCTTGTGCAATCTCACTGGCCTTATCCTTTTTTTTTTCTTTTTGAGACAGGAACTCATTACGTAGCTTTAGTTGGCTTAGAACTCTCTAAGACCAGCAGGGTGGCCTCAAATTCACAGAGATCCACCTACCTCTGCCTCCCAGGTGCTGGGATTAAAAGCATGTGCCGTGATGTCAGGCTTGTTTTCCGTTTTTTTTTTTTTTTTTGAGACAGCATCTTACATAGCCTAGGCTGGCCTCAAACTCATTATGTAGCAGAGGATGGCTCGGAATGTCTGATCTTCCTATTTCCACCTCCTGAATGCTGGGATTATAGGTACATGCAACCATGCCCAGCCTTAAATGGAAGATGCTTTATAGACTGAGCTGGGTTGGCCAGTCAGAAAGTAGCCTTCATAGGAGCTTTAACACTGGGCAATTCCTGTGCCTGTGAATTCTGGTATATAAAAGCTAGCTTACTTTGTCTATTACATTCTCTTGCTCTCAGTGGACTTTACTACAAAACACATGAATATCCATTGTTTTAAGATAGCTGGAGCCCACATGGCATGGAACCTGAGACTGCTTCATACGTCTCCATCTCTAGGTAGATCATCTTTTTTATTTTCAGTGCTGGGGCTTGTACCTAGGGCCTGGGACATGCTAGGCAAGCACTTTACCATTGAGCTACAACCACAACCTGGAAATTCTTCTTTATTGAAAATAAATACAGAGTCAAGCAGGTGGGCCAGCCAACATCTGAAGTTTTGGGGGCCGAAAGGGGTCAGACTTGTTCAAAATTCAGATCTCCATAAGCTGGTCATTTCCCACGATCACCTCATTTACTCGTTTAGCTAAAAAAAAAAAAAAAAAAAAAAAAATTTTCAGAGAACTGGCAGCAAAAGATGTCATTTCAAATTCAATTACTTCTAGAAAACATATTGTTCTTTTCAAAAGGGCCCATGAGAGAGAAAGCATCTTCCCACACAAGATGGAACTGACCCCTATATCCCTGGCTTTGAGGAAACTTACAGAGGAAGAGCATAGAACTTGGTCATAAAGGATGAATAGTTTTTCTAAACAGTGATTAAAGGGAAGGCATTTTGGCTTGGCGTGATAGCACATGCCTTTAATCCCAGTACTCAGGAAGCAGAGGCAGGCAGATCTCTGTGAGATGGAGGCCTGATCTATATAGGTTAGTTTGGGCTACAGGGAGACTCAGTCTCAAAAAAAAAGGGGGTTAGTAGAATGGTATAGAGATGTAAGAAAGAGACCAGGAAATACTGTAGTGCGACTGGAGGACAGGAAATGAGGTGAAAAGAGAAGAAATGAGGTTAAAAGGATAGAGAGACTCAAAGAAGAAAGTGAGGAATCACACATAACATGGAAATGTGTTGCCTGCCCTCATCCTTGGGGACAGTTCCATGATCAGTGGATGCCTGAAACTGTAGAATGCACTAAGTTAAAAGAATTGATAGGGGGCTGGAGAGATGGCTCAGCAGTTAAGAGCACTGACTGCTCTTGCAGAGGACCCAAGTTTGATTCCCAGCACCCACATGGCGGCTACGAACTGTCCTTAACTCCTCCCTCTTCTGACCTCCATGGCATTGCATGACATGGGTGCACTCACATACATGCAGGCAATACACTCATACACATAAAATAATTAAAAAAAAATTGGTAATGATGTCAATTGCTCTCCAAAGAGGACTATAAATTTCTGTCTTCACCTGAGGTACATATATTAGCTTGTTTTTCATATCTTGCCCACTGAGCATTATCTGTGCTAATGTGATCAATAAAAAATAGCTTCTGTGCTTATAACTTGGGTATTGTTTACCTTTAGCTTCAATCCTTTGACCACTTCCAATCAAACAGTTCTTGATGTCTGCACCCTTCTCAATCACAGCGTTGTTGCAAATGACACTGCCCTGGATGTTGCTTCTGTAACAGAGTAGCCAAGTTAGAGAGTGCCCAGGATTCATAACCAACCTATTGGCTGGGAGTTTAGGCTTTTCTTTAGAAAAAGAACTACTGGTAGGTTCTATTAATGACTGCATGTCTCAAGTTATCATTAGAAGACAGAATTGTGGACCAAGAGAGGACCTGGCTTTAGAGAATTTGCTTTTGGAGAATTCTAGTGTGGGGATAGCTCCTAATGATCCTGCTCCAAGCCTGGAAAAAAGGGTTATTTTGACTTTGGCTTGTGTGTGTGTGTGTGTGTGTGTGTGTGTGAATGGGGACTGAAGAATCTAGGGCTTTGCACATGCTAAATAACCACTTTACCACTGAACTATATCTCCAGCCCAAGCTCTTTGTTTTTTTGAGACAGGATCTCATATGGCTTAGGCTGGCCTCAAATTCACTATGTAGCCAAGGATGACCTTAAACTCTTTTTTTTTTTCCCTCTCCCTTTTTGGTCTTTTAAAGACCTATAGCACCAGCTGGTGTGGACCTAACCATGTAAACCAGGCTGGCCTAGATCTCAGAAATCTACCTGCGTCTGCCTCCAGAGTGTTGGGATTAAAAGCATGAGCCACCATACCCAGCTGACCTTAAACTCTTGATCCTCCTGCCTCCATCCCCAAGTGCTAGGATTACAGGTGTGTGCTACCATCCCAGTAACCAAGTTATTTTTACTAAAAAATTTTTTTAACTTTTTTAATTTTATGTGTAATCATGTCATGCAGTGCCTGAGGAGGTCAGAAGTTCCAGAGGAGGTCCCCTGGAACTGGAATTATGGATGGTTGTTAGCTGCCATGTCGATGCTGGGATTTGAACCTGGGTCTTCTGCAAGAGCACCCAGTGCTCTTAACCACTCTCTAGCCCATCAGTCCCTGTTTGTTTTGTGACAGTTTTTATTTGTGGGTGGGTGTGATGGGGGAGGGGCACACACATGTGTATGTCAGAAGACAACTGTTGGGAGTTGGTTCTTTTCTTTCACTATGTGGGTCCCAGGGATTGAACTCAGGTCATTGGTCTTGGCCTAGATCCTTTACCCACTGAGCCATCTTACCTGCCTAAGTTCTTTTTATTTGAGATAGAGTCTTGCTATGTAGCCCAAGCTGGCCTGGAATTCATGATTCTCCTGCCTCAACCACCCAAGTGTTGGGATTATAGGCATGTCTCCACATCTAGTTTGACTTTACTATTCTAGGGATCCCTGACCTTGGGGTATAAATTCCATCAACTTCTCTTTGGTGTATGGGTGGAAGCTGAGGCTGGTCTGTGGGCTGACCCATCAATTCTGCTTCCTATCTAGAATTATATAGCAAATATTATTGAGGTTCATAAATTAAGAATCTTCAGATCAAATATGGAAATAATGGGCTCACAGAGCTCTTTCCACGAACTCCATTTAAATGAAAACTATATTCATTAGAGTTGGAGAGATGGCTCAGTGGTTAAGAGCACTGGCTGCTCTTGCAGAGGACCTGGGTTTGGTTCCCAGCACCCAAATGGTGGTTAACAACCATCCATAACTCCAGTTCCAGGGAATCTATCTCCTCTAACCTGCTTGGGCACTGCATGGCACGGGTGCACTTACACACATGCAGGCAATACACTCACACACATAAAATAAAAATAATAAAATTCTGTAGCTCCAGATCCAGGGGAATTCAATGCCTGCCCAATTCTGATCTCCACAGACACAGCATGGCATAGGTGCATTTACATACATGCAGGCAATACACTCATACAACTAAAAAAAAAAATAATAGTAAAAAACCCAGCTCTAGCCAAGCATGGTAGCACAGATCTGTAATTTCAGCTACTTAGGTGGCTTAGGCAGGGAGACTACAAATTCAGGGTCTGCCTCAGCTACAGAGCTAAATAAAGTGGACAACTACTGAGATTCTGTCTCAAATAAAAAGAGAGGGGTGCACAGGGTTTTGGAAATATTACTTAGAGTACTTGCTTAGCACGTATAAAGCCCTGGGTTCAATCCTCAGCACCATTAGAATACTCTTAAGAGCAGCAATGGTTCTACTGTATTGTGAAACTGCCTTCCTGGCTCCTGAAGAGAGTGGGAGAAAAGGTTTAAAAAAAATACTAAGCCAGGGGGCTGGAGAGATGGCTCAGCGGTTAAGAGCACTGACTGCTCTTGCAGAGGACCCGGGTTTGATTCCCAGCACCCACATGGCAGCTATGAACCATCCTTAACTCAAGTTCCAGGGGAATCCAAAGCCCTCTTCTGACCTCCATGGCATTGCATGACATGGATGCACTCACATACATGCAGGCAATACACTCAAACACAATATATAAATATATAAATAAGGGGCTGGAGAGATGGCTGAGTGGTTAAGAACACTGGTTGTTCTTGTAGAAGACCCAGGTTTGAATCCCAGCACCCACATGGCAGCTAACAACTGTCTGTAACTCCAGTTCCAGGGGAATCTGACACCCTCTTCTGACCTCCGTGGGCACTGCATGACACGGGTGCACTTACATGCAGGCAATACATGCATACACATAAAAATAATAAATAAAATTAAACAAAAATAAATATTAAAAAATAAATTAAGCCAGGTGTGGTGGCACAGGCACACACTTTTAGTCCCAGCACTCAGAGGCAGGCGGAGCTCTGTGAGTTCAAGGCCAGCCTGGTCTACATAGTGAGTTTCAGGACAGCTGGGACTATAAAGAGACCTTGTCTCAAAAAGACCAAAAAAAAAAAAAAAAGAGGCTGGAGAGATTCAGCAGTTAAGAGCATGTACTGCTCTTGTAGAGTCCTGCCTGAGTTCTGTTCCCAGCACTCATGTTAGGGAGCTCACGACCACCTGTTAACTCTAGCTCAAAGGGATCCAATGCCTCTGGCCTCCTGGGTACTTGCATGCATGTGCACACACAGAGATACAATTAAAAATTAAAGTTTTGTTTGTTTTTGTTTTTTTCAAACAGGGACTCCCTGTAACCTCAGCTGGCTTGAGATCACTATCTAGACCAGGATGGTCTTGATCTCATGGAGATCCACTTGCCTCTGCCTCCCAAGTGATGGGATGAAAGGTATGTGCAACCACACCTGGTAATAAAAGTAAATCTTTTTCTTTTGAGACAGGGTCCCAGCTGTCCTGGAACTTGCTATGTAGACCAGGCTGGCCATGAACTCACAGAGATCCGCCTGCCTCTGCCAAGTGCTGGGATTAAAGGCGTGTGCCACCAGACCTGGCTAAAAGTAAATTTTTAAAAATGAGAGAGAGAGAGAGAGAGAGAGAGAGAGAGAGACAGAGAGAGAGACAGAGAGACAGAGAGAGAGACAGAGACAGAGTGGAAGTTAGAGGACAACTCTCCTTCCACCATGGGATCCAGGGACTGAACTCAAGCTGTTAGGCTTGTGCAGTAAGTTATTAACTGGCTGAGTCATCTCTCTGGCCAGAAAAAGTCTTTTTGAAAACCATCACCAACATTTATCACATATCTATGCCAGATACTATGTTGAATACTCTGTACATTCAGCAGTGAGGTTTTTCAAATCTAGCTGTTTCATCTAAAAAAAATCACCTGGATATTTCTCAGCAGGTAAAGCCACTTGTCATGCAAACCTGGAAGCCTGAGTTCAATTTCCACAACCTATGTAAAGATGGGAGAGTTGGTTTCATAAGGTTGTTCTCTGATCTCCACACATGCACTCTGACATATGTCACTCACCCCATCCCATCTTGCACACAACATGCACACGCACGCACACACACACCTGGGCAATGTAAAAATATCCTGTGTCATGCCTTCCATCAATATTTTTGGTAGGTCTGGAATGAAAACTTTAAGTACAAAAAACCTTTCTTAGGTTGATTCTTTGAATATCATTTTTATCTGATGTAGTAAAAATAGTGCTCACATTTTACAGATGAAATAACAGATCTAGAGAATTTAAACTATTTATTCCAAACCACATAACTGCTAAGTAACATACACAAATGTGGTTCTGCCTGATTCCAGAATGCAATACAAGCCTGCACAACATAGCAAGATCCTGAGATCCTGTCTCAAACAACAGAAAGATCCTTCCCAAATGCCAAAACTTTAATAAAATGTGAAAAAGAATTTTACAGGGCATTTAGCTATCACCATTCTTTAAAACAAAAATTATTTTTATTTTATATGTATGAGTGTTTTGCCTACATGTGCATAAAGTGCGCCTGTGTGTGCAGTGGCTGTAGAGACCAGAAGAATGAGTTGGATCACTTGGAACCGGGATTACAGATGCTGTGAGCCACCATGTGGGTGCTGGGAACCAAACCTGGGTCCTTTGGAAGACCAGCAAGTGCTCTTAACTGCTGAATCATCTCTCCAGCCCCTACCATCTTTTTTTCAGATATTCAAAATTTTATTTTAAAAAATTTCCTTCATAACAATTTAAATAAGTTTGAGAAAGCTCCTTTTTACCATAAGCAAAGTCAATAAACAGGTACAGAAGAGTAAACCCAGGAAGAAGGCTTTGATCCCCTACAAGAACAGTAAATATTCTTTTTTTTTTTTTTTCGGTCTTTTTGAAACAGGGTCTTCCTGTAGCCGCAGCTGTCCTTGAACTCACTATGTAGACCAGGCTGGCTTTGAACTCACAGAGATCCGCCTGCCTCTGCCTCCCAAGTGCTGGGATTAAAGGCGTGCGCCACCACACCCGGCGAACAGTAAATATTCTTAATGGCTGGCTGAGCCATCTCTCCAGCCCTGGTATCAAGGTTCTTAAGGCCCTCTTAATCATTCAAATTTATAGCTTCGTTCTTCCACTTAGGACTGAAGAAGAAAAATTAGATAGTCCAACAAAGTAATAAATCTTCCCTATCTAATATTCCTAGTTGGATCCCTAAAATTTGCACTTGAGATGATGTTGAGTTTTTCATTCCCAGTGGTACTTGGGTTGTTTCCCAACATGAACTGCTATCATTCTCCTCTTTTCTCTCTCCTCCCTCCCTCCTTCCCTGCCTTCCTTTGGTGAA